GAGCTCATCCCGGCCCGCTGTCCTGGTGCCACCACTTGGTAGCGCTGCTGCTAACCCAGGAGAGGCTCTCGCTGCTGCTGCTGCTCTCACCAGCCGTGAGCCCAGCTTCTGGCTGAGTGGTGCTCCCGCTACCATCAGTGGGTAGCTCCTGCATTGAGCGTCTGCCCCATGGTGGTCAGTGCATGTCATAGAGACTAGTCAACAGATTATTCAGTCATAATGGTCACTTATGCTTTTATATATATAGATATAGATATAGATATAGATATAGATATAGATATAGATATAGATATAGATATAGATATAGATATAGATATAGATATATAGATATAGATATAGATATAGATATTGATTTCTGAGAGGACAGGAGAGATAGTTAGAAATGTCAATGATGAGAGTGAATCATTGATTGACTGCCTCCTGCACACCCCACTCTGGGGATCAAGCCTGCACCTGGGCATGTGTCCTGATCCAGAATCAAACTGTGACCTCCTGGTTCATAGGTTGATGCTCAACCACTGAACCATGCTGGCCAGGCTAATAACCATCCCAGTTTTGATTCAGTGAGTAACTTTTCTCTAAGAGATGGTGCCTCGAAAGAAGAAGTTTTTATTCGAGCACTAACCTGACCCATTCAGCAAGATGCCAGATGCGTCCAGCAATATCATGAAAAGACGCTCAAAGTATCACATCCTCCACTGAAGCCAGGGCCCTCCCAAGCCACAGCCCAGGGTGTGGGAAGAGCCAGCTTCCTTACGTTTGAATGGAGTCAAAATGACCTTAATTAGTTTGAAGTCGTCTTGCTCTTGAAGGATGGGTATGATTAGATGGCATCGTAGTCGGTTAGGGCTGCCATAGCAACGTACTGTGGACTGGGTGGCTTAGACAACAAAATTTGTTATCACTCAGTTCTGGAGGCCAGAAGTCCAAGATCATGGTGTCTACATGGTTGGTTTCTTCTGAAGCCCCCTCCTTTGTAGATGGCCCCCTTCTCCATGTGTCCTCACATGGTATATCCTCTGTGTGGGTGTCTCTGTGTCCACATTTCCTCTTATAAGGGCACCTGTCTCAGACCCCATCTCCCAATACCATTACATTCTGAGCTACTAGGGGTCAGGACTTCATAGGAACTTCGGGGAGACAGAGTTCAGCCCATAACAGGTGGGTAAAGGGAAGAAGAGACAGTGTCCCTTGTGAAAGAAATAGGAGGATAACAACAGGAGGGGACAGTGTGGGGGAAGGGTGGGGACTGTGAGAAACGGGCATATTTGGAATGCGATCTATGAGTGGGACTGGAAGAAGGTAGGTACCTTGTGCAAAGCCTGGAAAGGAGCCCCAAGTTGTAGTCGAGGTCAGCAGTAGTGGAGGTTCATCACCCCATCACAGGTGGCCCGTGAAAATCCTTTCAGCTGGACCAGAAATCGGAGGCCAGTCTAAGGTGTGATGTTCTGCTTGTCGCCCTTTCCCGGGTGTTTGCTTCCCCTGGTACAGCTCACACCGGGGAAGCATCTGGTGAGGGGGAGGGAAGCAAACGGTGGATCTTGGTTCTTGAGTGGCAGCTCCTTAGCCTCTGGGAATTGAGGAGGGGACAGAGTCCCACACTAAATTAGGAAGCTGGGTTTGGGTCCTTCTCACCTCTTATTTGACCCATTTTTAATCTCTGTCTCTGCTTGGCTCCCACCACAAGAGTCCAACCCCCTCCCCTGCCCTCTGTGTGCCCAGAGCTCCCCTCCCAGAGCACCCCACCCCACAGGTCTCTTCACCGCCTCGAATCCCCCATGATGCACCTTTGTCACTTCTCACCCTTGCACCTTCTCCCCTAGCCCGGCCCCAAGGCCTGTGTATAGGTTACAACAGGCCCTCAACACTCTGGCCCCACCAGTGGGGTTCCCCATGTGGAGAATCCAGAGGGAGGAAGAGGGTGTGTGGGGTTTCGTGTCCACTTTTTTCTCTTCTACCTCTTTTTTTCTCTCTCTTTTTCATCCTTTGGACTGAATATTTGTAAGGAGACTCCTAGCTGCTGTGAAACAAAGGTGCCCTGTAATGTGTGTGAGGGATTGAGCATTACAAATATGTTCAAAGGTCAGAAATGCCTTAACTGGTATTACTTGTGAAGAATTAATATTCATTATTTCACCTAGCGAATATTTATGCATCCTCTATTATGTGCCCTCAAAGGGCTTCAGGGTTCCCCAAGGTTCCTTCTGACTACACTTTGAGAAATACTGCTTTATACTGGTAAAAAGCTGTATTCCTGTAATTACAGGAGATAGAAAAAAGGAAGCAGTAGTTTCACTGTGTATTGTGTTTTGATCAAACTTCATTTAGAGTATTGATCAGTGGGATTTAGCTCATTAAAGTTATCTTTATTATTTTCTAAGATTAAAATACACAAAACATAAAATTTAGCATTTTAAGTGTACAGTTCAGTGGCATTAAGCGCATTCACATTGTTATGCAACCATCACCTCCATCCTCTCCAGAACTCTCTTCATCTTGCAGAACTGAAACTCTGTCCCCGTTAAACATTAACTCCCCACTCACTCCTCCCCGCAGACCCTGGCAGCCCCCATTCTGCTTCCTGCCTCTGTGAATTTTACTCCTCTAAGTGGACTCATACAATGTTTGTCCTTCTGTGTCTGGCTTATTTCACTTAGCATTATGTCCTCAGGGTTCATTTACACTGTAGCACGTGTCAGAATTTCCTTTCTCTTTAAGACAATGATAGCCTACTGCAGTGATGGCGAACCTATGACACGCGTGTCAGAGGTGACATGCAAACTCATTTTTGGGGGGTTGATTTTTCTTTGTTAAATGGCATTTAAATATATAAAATAAATATCAAAAATATAAGTCTTTGTTTTACTATGGTTGCAAATATCAAAAAATGTCTATATGTGACACGGCACCAGAGTTAAGTAGGGTTTTTCAGAATGCTGACACGCCGAGCTCAAAAGGTGCGCCATCACTGGCCTACTGTGCGACACTTGTTTCTTCATTCATCCACCATGGACAGTGGGGTTGCAGCTACAGCCTTTTTGAGTGCTGGATGCAGTTAGTTGTGTTCACAGCAACCCTGTGGCATCTCTCCCGGCCTTTCAGCTGAGCAAGCAGAGACTCTGACGGGCTTACGAACTGGCTGGTACTAGGTCCATGACTGGGTCAGGATGTTGACCTGGTCTTGCTTGACTTCAGAGCCCACGTGCCTCCCCTTATGCCACGCTGGGAGGGAGCTAGGACTGATTGTGTCTGTGTGTCCCAGAAGAGCGGGGAGGAGCAAACCAGGATAGGCGAAAAGTCCTCATTGAAAAAGTGACCTCAGGGGAAAGACACTAAATCATCGCAGTCCTAGCGGGAGAGTGTGTGGTTTCGAAGGTTGATACAGTCATTGTGAAAAAAAATCAGTACCTCTATTGTTCTGTACAGCAGCTGGGATTAAAATCTGCAGGAAGAGTGTGGAGATGGTTTTATTCTTAAGAACAAAGCCTCTTGTCAGGGAAATGGTGGATATTCAAATCAGTGACCTGGCCACTGCCAGGAGCCCAGGAATCCTGCTGGCATGGTCAGGGTAAGCACAGAGCGGGGTCTTAAGGAGAAACCATGCACCTGGTTCTGCCCGCATGTCTGCTACCTACTCAGTGATGGAGCAAGTCCCTTCCTATCTCTGGCCTTCGGTTTCCTCATCGGAAAAAGGATGGTCTCATTGGATGGTTTTCAAACAGGTTATAGCTGCAAATGTAAGCTGAATCCAGGCCAATAAGTTAAATATGACACAGCCCCGCCCCCCCAGCCCTCCCCCCCCCAAGCCCGCCCCCCCTCCCTCGCTTCAGTTTGCTGAGCACTGCGGGGTGTGGCTTAGACAAACTCTGGGTTTAGATGCAGCCCCTCCCCCAGCTCTTTGAACCCTTAGCCCACATGTTTACTATCTTGCCCTGAGAATTTGCCAAGTCTGGTGGAAACTAATACTAAAAGGTGTATTTTTCTTTGCTTGGCAAAGAAGGGAATAGGCTTTGCATTTGTATTAGTAAGAAAAGGAGGACGGACGAGAAGGCAGCAAAGACAAAAAATGAGCTTAAAAGAAAGTACTGAGTTGTGTAAAATAACAAATCGAATCCCCCTTCACTCATCTAGAACTAGCTACTATGAATGGTTTGGTGTTACCCATTTAAAAAAATATGCTTTTAAGTAAGTGTGTGTGCGTGTGTGTGTGTGTGTGTGTGTGTGCACATGAGTGCATACATAATTTTTAGTATAAATTGAATCATTCTGCTTTTTTTTATTCAATAGATCTTAGACAGGTTTTCCTATCAGTACCTATAGATTTACCGCAGTCCTTTTCAGATGGACCATGATTCATTTCACCCGTCCTCAACTGAGGAGCCGTGAGCTACCTTCCTCACAGTCTTTATCATGGTTTTGTTTTTGTGCCATTCACAGAAGACACTCGCGGCATTTCATTTTTGTTTTCTTCAATGGGTGGTGTTATGTTATAGTGAAAAGAACCAAATACTGAGGGGCTTAGAGTCTGGAGTTCTCGCTTCCAGCCTGGCCATTTATAATCCGCCTTCGAACAAGGTCACACCTCAACCTGAGGGTCTTCCTCCTCGAGATGGCCTTCCCACCTCAGTGCCGTGTGACCAGCGAGTGTGGCGTCAGAGTGACTCAGGGTGCTACGGCCCCACTGAGGCCTGACTCCTCTCTCTCGTCTGCCTGGCCAGGCTGCAGGGAATAAGGAATAGTTTTCTCTTCTTGCCCAGGCATCAGGTGCCTCTATCCACTGGCATCCTCAAGCCCAGAGACAACCACCCCAGCCCTGTTTTCTGGCGTGCTTTGGGAGAACTCAGCCCCGAGTTTCACAGAAATTCCAGTTATTATCAAGGTAGACGGAACATGAAGCAGAGCTGCTGCCCCAGCCCACTGATTAGAGGGAGGCTCCCATCTCCCCCGGGAGACAGAGTCTGTGATCTTGGCTGCTGAGGCACAAAGGCTGCCCACGCTCATGCTTTGTGGGAGCTCCCTGGATGTTCTATTGACCCTCTTGGCATCTATTCGCTCTCGAAGGACCATTTGAGGGCCAAAGCCCCGCCCAGACCTCTGGCCTGTGACGATGCCTCCACACACTGACATGCACCCCTGGGCTCCTGAACAGCAGTGGATTCTGGGATGGGGCTGCTCTCAATAAATAAGAGTGATGACTCGTGGTGACAGGACTGACCGGGGCTTTCATCGATCACTTCAAATGTACTTCCTCCCGTGGCTGTTTCTTGCCTCGGCATTCATCACACAGCAGATTGATTCTCCATCATAATTGAATCTTACAGATGTAAGGGGATTGTAATTAACGCGACAGCATCACTTTCCTCATAAAATCATAAACTGCAGACCCAGCACCGCCGGATGACAAATGTGTCCTTTGCTGTGGTGCTGGCGTCCCGTGGACCCAGAGCCCTCATGATCTGCAATATGCAGAACAAACCGTGCAGTGGAGAAGGAACTCTTGCAGTGAGCAGGGACGGAGGGTGCTGGCCACTGCAGTGCCTATTGCCTGGCTTATGGGACCCTCCTCTCTGGGAACATTCCTAGGAGAGGGACATACATACCGTCAGCCTCTACCCAGGACCAGTCACAGATGGTCCCGGGAAGAAGATGGGTGGATGCTTCCCTGCGCTCAGGGGGCTCCGAGGAGACACAGCAAAGGCCCTGTGGGCAGAGTTATTTTATTGTGATGGGGGAAGACAGGACTTCATGGCGGAGGCAGTGTTTGGGACAGATGTTGAAGGCTTCTTGAAGGCCAAACTGAGGGAGGTAGGTGTTCTTGGTGGAGGCTACCATATTTTAAATCAAGGCGGTGGGAAAGCAGGGCACCTGTTTAGAAAACATTCTGCAATCCGGTTTAGTTGTTGCCTGGGTGTGTTTAGGTGAGCATTTGGAAAGGAGGAGATAAAAATAGATGGGCACTTTGCTATAGACTGAATGTTTGTGTCCACTCCCCACCCTCACCCCACCACAAATTCCTATCTTGAAATCCTAATCCTTATGTGATGTTAATAGGAGGTGGACCCTTTGGGAGATGATTGGGTCTCGAGGGCAGAGCCCTCATACAGGGATTAGTGCCCATATAAAAAGAAACCCCAGATAGTCCCCTCCTCCTCCCACCACGTGAGCACACAGTGAGAAGATGCCATCTCTGAACCAGGAAGTGGGCTCTCACCAGACACTGAGTCTGCTGGGGCCTTGGTCTTGGATGTCCCAGCCTCCAGACTAAATAAGTATCTGTGTTTGTAAACTACACAATTTGTGGTTCTGTGATAGCAGCTGGAATGGACTAAGACACACTGCCATGCTCTGCCTCAGTTCCTTCCCATAACACTGGTCCCCCAGCGACTGTGTGAAGGAAGGAGCTGTATTATTTCTGAGCGGTTGCCCCTGGTGGATTCATGCCTCAGAGACAGCTGACTTCCTTTACACTTTGTCTTAGGGAGTGGCTGAGGCTGAACTGGAAGAGGACCTGTATCGGACTTTCAAACTCATTTTCAGAGCACATGATGAGGTGAGGGGTACAGGGGTGGGAGGGTAGAAGGGGAATAGATAGCAGGAAGGGGGAGCTGCAGAGGTGCAAAGGTCTCTGGATGGCCTCCCTCGGAAAATGGGGTGGGGACTGGAACCTGGGAATGAGCAAGCTGGCCTTCTTCCCTCTGATTTCTGTAGTCAGGGTGAGTGGGATCCTCACTCTACCGGTGACACCAATGGGGGAAGGTCACATCCTCACTGCCACACACCAGTAAAGCTTTGAAACTAAAATCAAAGAATGATTATAATAGTGACTATGGAGAAATTATACCATTTTTATCAACATGCATAATTGTTTATCAAAGCCCCAAATTAATTGCTGTTTCAACCCTTTTCATGAACAACCACAGTTGCTTATAATGGTTTATCTCCATACCCTCCACCCACCCTCATATAGTCAGTGCCTGCTTAGCCTTTCCCATGTTTGCCACTTTCTGTGCTGACCACTTCTAGCATCTCACTCTTTTATATTGAGTTCAATTGCTTCTTTCTGAAGGACTTTCTTTTGTAGTTAGTTCTTTCCAGTCTGTTAGTAGTAAACTCATAATGTTTTTGGCCAGAAAATGTCTTTTTTGCTTTCAATGTTGAAGAATAGTTTGAATATGGAATTCTAGGTTGACAATTTTTTTTTTCTTTTAGAGGCTCCTGTCATTGTTTATGCGAAACATGCCTCTGATCTACCCTATTATTGTTTTTTTAGTGGTGTTTAATCTGCAGGTTAACCCATCTTTGAAGTTTTGTGTGTTTTTTGCTTTTTCTTTCAATGAACATTTTTTGAAATTTATGAAAGTTTTATTTGGCTCCTTTTCAAATCACTCTGATCTATTGTTCTGTTCTTGTTTTTCAGTTTCTTTTGTTTTTAATAATTTTAAGCATAGTCATTTTCATTCTCTCCCTCTTGCAAGTTCTATTAGTTGATACTAGGGGCCTGGTGCATGAAATTCGTGCACAGGGGGTGGGTCCCTCAGCCCAACCTGCACCCTCTCCAATCTGGGAGCCCTCAGGGGATGTCCTACTGACAGCTTAGGCCTGCTCCCCGTGGTTCTCTGCTCTCTGCGGACCCACCTGCTTGATGCCACCTCAGGCCCTGGCCTGCTTGCCCTTTGCTGCTCTCTGTGGGGGCTTGCTTGCCCTTCTGGCTCGCCGCTACAGGGGCAAGCAGGGCCCTGCTGTCTGCTCTCTATGAGGGCCCTACAGGGGACTGCTTGCCCCTCACTGCTAAAGCCAGGGGCAAGCAGGGCCCTGTTGTCTGTTCGCTCACTGTGGGGGGACTGCTTGCCCCTCACTGTCATGGCCAGGGGCAATCAGGGCCCTGCTGTCTGCTTGCTCGCTGCAGGGGACATTCCTGCCCTGCCCCAAGCCGCTCAGTGACTACACGCATAGGCCTGGAGTGGCCCAGGGCATTCCAGGACCCCAGCCGCTCCAGCCCTATGCACAGGCCTACAGGCTCAGAGTGGCCTGGGTCCCAAGGACGCCCATCTCCGGGACTCAGGCCACTTGGTGCCAGCGCTTGTGCAAGCAGCCGCCCCGCCCCCAACCGCTCGGCACCTGCATATGCAGATTTGTTTGGTTAATTTGCATACTCACTTCTGATTGGCTGGTGGTCTTTGCAAAGTGACAGTCAATTTGCATCTTTCTCTTTTATTAGTGTAGATTCACTATTTGCTATGTTTACTGTCTTTTGCAATGGGATTTGCAGGAGGGGGGTGGGATAGAGAAGAAAGGGAGTTTTATAATTTTGGTTTGTGAGCTCATCTTGAAGCAGCACTGAATCTGTGCCAGCTGGCTTCAGCTGGGATTGAGGAAATGGCCCTCTTGTGTTTTAGCACTGGCTGCTTCTGTCAGATATCCTGGTGGTATTACTAGCCCAGCCTCATTTGTTGTGGTTGCTGTTGACTTTGCATCTTGGGCATTTCCAGATCATGGAGAGAGTGTAAATTCAAACCCAAGCACTTGTGAAGGCAGGCTCATAGCTATGAATTTCTGGGTGAACATTTTTTGGTTTCCTCTTAGTTCCAAACTGAATGGACCAACTCCTTTGACATCTCTCTGTCATGATGGGTGGGACCACAGATTTACTGTGGAGGGTCTTATCTTTAACTTCCCATCTGCCATAGACCTAAGGTCTCATCTCTATTCCCATTGGTTGATAGAATCAAGTTCTTATATCACCAAGACCTGCAAGTGGGGGGGGGGGGGAGGCAAGGGGTGGGCAGCCTAGGCCCAGAGCTTTGATTGTTAGTTATTTCTGCTGTGACCCCTAAGGACTTGCCTACCTCTCAGGAGTTTAGCATGTTTGTACCAGTCTGATGGCACTAGTAGGTGACCTGTTCCAGCATATTTTCTTTACCCATGACATAATCTCCAACTTTTCTTCCTACAGATCGTGGTCAACACGTACAACGTCTGTGAAAGGGGTAAGAGGTATTCTTAGAAGGGAAGGGAATCAGGAGGGCCATGGCAGGAGCCAGCTGAGCATTGAATGAGCATTTCTCCATCTGACTCTATGAGCAGAAACAGCCACCTGCCAGCTCTGAACTAGGACTGGCTTAACATAGGGTTCCCGCAGGTGACTAACATTCCCCTTAGCCCTGGGCTGATCACGGGACCTCAGGTTCCTTTCCTTCAGGGACCTTTGGATTCAAGATCTTAAACAGTAAGAGCTTGGAGGACTCTTAGAGCTTGTCGGGGCAATCCCAGCCTCTACTGACAAGGACCGAGACCCAAGATAGGAACTGACATCTGCAGGGTCACCTGGTGCAGGCAGAGGGAGAGTCGGGCTAGACCCCAAGCCAGGTCTCCCCTGTCATAGTCCACTGTCCTCTCCTCCATCCCAGCCCCGAGTCCTGTCATTCCAGTTCTGTCACATTTCCACCCTTGTCCTCCCTCCTGGGTTGGAAACAAGTGAGGAGTCAGAGTGAAGAACAGACTGGAGTTCATCCATGGCTCCGAGATCCAGCACTGTACCCACAGACCTTACCTTTGCCCCAACACTCTGGCCTTACCATTATTCACTGTATTTTTATTGATAATGAGGACTTGTATTTTTATTGATAATGAGGACACTACTACTTGTTTGTGCACCTACTATGTGCAGCAAATGCTGGCCTGGCCCTCTTTAGATACATTATTTATAATCCTCATGACACCCTTAAAAATCCCATTATTATCTGTATTCTACACATGAGGACAATGAAGCTCAGGCACTTGTCCAAGTGGCCAAGCTGGGCTTAAACTCCTCTGACCCTAAAGGCCATACGCCTCTCACTGGTCAAGACCACGTCTCCCTTCCCTCTCGCCTCCCCCCTCCATTCCTTTTCTCGGTCACTCGGTCACTCTGTCACTGCATTCCTTTGCTCTGCAGACGGTTTGAGCTCACACTTGGTGAGGCAGGGACAGACATCCAAACACAGGCAGCAGAGTCGGGGAGTCCAAGGGGAGGCGGACGGACGGCAGGAACGCAGGGAGGGGGGCTGGCGGGGCTCTCACCCCAGCCCCGAGACAGCAGGGAGCTAGGAGCTCCGACCTCCAGGGAGGCTCAAGTGCTTCATCACAGAGGCACCTGCTCACATAGCCCTGCGAGGGAGCTCACAGAAGGCTGCATCCATCCCCCAGCTCCTGTGCCTCCAAAGCTCCCAGCTGAGCCTGGGGAGCCCCCCGGGGCTGTCCCCCGTGAAACGGCGGTGGTCCCTGGGCTGTCCGTCAGCATCACGGGGTTGAACCCCCCACCCCCAGGGAGGGAAACTGCCAGGACACAGTGTACACCCCTGAAAACAAATGAGATTCCACACCGAGGACACGGGGGGGGGGGGGGGGGGGCGGGGCGTGAGTGTGCCGAGGGCAACAGCACGCCTGCGCCCTGGCCGACGGTTTTCCAGGCTCCGAGGACGATCGGCGCAGACACTGGTGAACATTCCAAGACTCTCCGTGGAGATATCTGAAGAGGGATGGGATTCTTTAAGCTAGGGAGGAAAGGCTTCGTCTAGGGGAGAGGGAGAGCTGGAGGGCTGGCAGGGCCGAAGACAGGTGTCATCCTGGGACGGAGGTGTAGTTTTGGGAGGACAGGAGGGGGGTGGTCAGTCCTCGTGTGTCCCAGAAGCGGAGGCCTGGGTGTGACACTCTTGGGTTCTAGAATGACAGAGGCAACAATGACTTCTCTGATGGAGAGGAAAGGGGCTTCCTGTGGATAAGAGAGGATGAATGAAGGGGTGCCAAGGGAGGCGGGAGGCAGTTAGGAGGTCAGCCTCCATTGCAAAGGCCGGCACTCGCTGCTGGGACCCCTGGCCGAGGGCATGGGATCGGGAACAAGTGGCTTTTTGCAGGAGGACTCTTTGTGAAAGCCCCGAAAGAGCCCAGCCTCAGCAGGATTGTGACCGAGGAGGACATCTGCTTCTACGTGCAGCAGTTCAAGAAGTCCGGTTTCAGGTACACGGAGTGTTGCCCAGAACACAGGAGAGGCTGGTCAGCACGCGGGGCTGCTGTGCTCAGGGTGCAGGACAGGCCTGGTTCCGGCCCCACGGCCCGTGGAGACCTGGCTGCCCCTGCTTCCCTGCCTCCAGTGGTGGGAGGCTCACCGTCGGCTCTGGTTTGGGATGGCTCACCTCCCTCTACCTTCTGGGCCCCCTCAGAGCAGATGCTTTTAACCTTTTTTCAGTCACGACCCCCGTGAGAATCAAATGACAGTTCTGAGTTCTTTCTTCAGAAAAACACCGACACTCAAAAACTGCATACATTTTTAGGGGGACTGGAGACCTCTCTCTCTTTTTAAACAGCTTTGTTGAGCGCTGGCTCACGTACCATATAGAATCCACCCTCTGCAGTGGTTTTAGCACATTCACGGAGCCGTGCGGTCATCACCACATCGCTCCAAAAAGAAACGCCATTTCCTTGAGCAGTCAGCTCTCCCCCACTTCCCCTCGACCCCCTAGTCCTAGGCCGTCCCTATCTGCCCTCCATCTCCATGGATTTGCCTACTCCGAGCATTTCACATAAATGCAGTACCTCTGTGCGTGTGCCTCTGTGCCTGGCTTCTCTCGCTCAGCTGGTGCTCTCAGGGGTCTCTACGTTGTAGCAGGTGTCCAACCTCATTCCCTTGGCTCAGACCTGCGTTCACATTGATGGTCTGGGCCTCTGCTCTGGAACCACAAGGCATTGCTCCCACGGCCCCTTTCCTGCATAGCCCTCCGAATATTTACACGTTGTAAATCTTTGAAGCTCCTGGTTTCTTCAAGGATGTTGCAGTTCACCACATGCCCATCCTTCTTTCTCCCTCGTGCCTCTCTCTACACTTCCATCCTTTACTCCAACCCGAGGCCTCAGAAAGAGCCAAGCCATGGACACTGCCTTGGCCAGCCCTGCCCAGGAGTCCTCTATCCTGTAGCCGTGGCTGGGAACGCCTGTGGCCCCTACCCTTTAGCCTCAGAATCTCTTGCACCACCACAACCCACAACTCTTCCCTAAGCTTTTTTTTTTTCTTCTTCTTTTGAGGCTGAGACCATTTAAGAGTCTCAGATTTGAGGACAGATTTGCTCTGGAAGGGAGCAGAGAGATAATGTGGCCTCACGCCCTCCTTGTTCGGGAGGGAAAATGAAAAGTCCCAAAAGGGTATGTGGCGTGTCCAAGGTATTCCCAGGGCCTAGAGCTGTGAGACCCGAGAGCACCAACCCCGACTAGGCCCGAGGACTGGCAGAGGGTTCTAGGTCCAGCCCCAGAGCTGCCCTGCCTATCCCCGAGGAGACACCTCTGCACCACCCCCTGAAGTCCCTTCTCCAGGGGTTCCCCAGGGCAGGGGAGTGGCCTCTGGATGGTGAGGGCGCTAAACAAGCTCCCACCTCTTATGTGACAGCCCTGGGATGACGTGGGGAGTCCTGTGGGGCCGGCTCCGTGTGACAGCCCTCTCCACAGACCCGCTCCTCAAACCCGCGTGTCCCAGGCCTGGCACTCAGGCACCGTTGTGCTGGGCTCGGTCCTTTCCCCCCAGAAGCTTGGCTCTCCCTGGGAGACTGGTGCCTGGTGGGTCCGCAGCACAGTCATGGACTAAACGCTTTCCTGTCTTTATTCCCTGATCTGCCCCCCAGGGGTCCCCTAAACTGGTATCGAAACATAGACAGGAACTGGAAGTGGGGCTGCAAAGGCAGAGGACGGAAGGTGAGTGCTGGGTTAGTGTTGCTCCCTCCCCCATGCGCCCACCCCCACCCCGGCTTCCCGTTGCCCTGGGTCAGAGCTGGGGGTGGACCGAGGGACCTGCGGGCTTCCTCCTTTCTGTCCTTTTCCTCTGGGCTTCGGAAGTGCCTCCTCCAGGTTTTCCCTTGGGGCCTCTTCTGCTGACGCTTCTCTTGGAATGGGTGGTGGTAGGGACAGAGCAGGGGTCTGACTGGGTGACTGCAGCTTCGGTCTGGGAGGCCCAGGTCTCCTGGTGGTGCCCCAGCTCAGGGCAGCAGATGGTCCAGGGTGACTCCCAAAGGGTTCACTGATGGAGCACTAGGTGTTCTCAGAGAGGCAGGGCTTCGTCTCGGCCTTATCATGTGACCAAGTCAGTCTGTGGCTCTGTTTCCTCGTTTGTCCAGCAGAAGATGGTTTCCAATCTCTGGGTCTGCGGTGGGAGTAATGGGGCCCCCAGGTTACATTCAAAACATTCAAAACCTAAGGGTGATTGCGTTTTCAAGGTCCTCGCTCACTTGGGAGCCCGGTCGTCTTGTTGACTCTCTCGACTGTGAACACCCTCTGTGTGTCAGGCACTGTGCCAGGCCGCGGATTTACCAAACGGATAAAACAGACGAGGTCTCGATGACACGGGTTGGTCTGGAGGCAGCACAGCATAGAAGGCAGTGGTTAAGAGTGGGCTGGACAGCCGAAACCGGTTTGGCTCAGTGGATAGAGCGTCGGCCTGCGGACTGAAAGGTCCCAGGTTCGATTCCGGTCAAGGGCATGTACCTGGGTTGCGGGCACATCCCCAGTGGGGAGTGTGCAGGAGGCAGCTGATCGATGTTTCTCTCTCATCGATGTTTCTAACTCTCTATCTCTCTCCCTTCCTCTCTGTAAAAAATCAATAAAATATATAAAAAAAAAATCAATAAAATATATTAAAAAAAAAAAAAAAAAAGAGTGGGCTGGACAGAAATTTGGCCTGGGATCTGATCCCCGCGTGGCCTTGGCCACACTCTTAACCAGTGTGTTCTTCGTTGCGGCTTCTGTAATCTGGGAATGACAACAATGGTGCTAACATGTAACGATAGCATGGGTTAATGCACATACAATGCTTAGAACAGTGCCTAGCACATAGCAGTAGTTCCATTAATGCTCCTTATCATCACTCTACTCTGTGATTGACAGAAATTATAAAGCCGCAGTTTGATGGGCAAAATCTCTCCAAGTGTGGATGGACATAATGTCAAAGATTCTGGGAAGGCGAACCCTGATGGTGCTTAAGTTGGGAATTCCCTTCTCCTGCAGCCACCTTTCAGATCTCCCTCCTCTCCCACCTCCTCCGTGCCCCCACCACCAGTTTACATTTTGACTTGGAGCATTCTAGAGCTTGCCCAGCCCACCGCAGCCTCCGGATGCCTTTCAGCACCATGTTTGCATGTCTCCTGTTCATGCTCTCATTTGGAGGACGGGGTGCGGTGGGTAAAAAAAATAGTGCAGATTTCTTAATCAGGGACAAACTGGAGCTGTTTGAACATTATTATGGCAGAGTGAGAACAAAGAGAATAAATGGAGACTTTCATGGCCTCTCCAGGCCCCATTTATCAGTGGATAAAAGAGAAGTCATCTTGCTGCCTCTAATGTCATGTTGGTAACAGTTGTGTCTGGCCCGTTCACTCTCCAGAGCAGCGGTTCTCAACCTGTGGGTCGCAACCCCTTTGGGGGTCCAACGACCCTTTCACAGGGGTCGCCTAAGACCATCGGAAAACACATATATAATTACTTATTGTTTTTGTGATTAACCACTATGCTTTAATTATGTTCAATTTGTAACAATGAAATTGGGGGTCACCACAACATCAGGAACTGTATTAAAGGGTCGTGGCATTAGGAAGGTTGAGAACCACTGCTCTAGAGTCTTGGCTGCCCTTTTGAAGCATCCATTTAGCTCAAAGAAAAGGAATATCGATCTCCATGCAAGGGCATTTCTTCCTTTCTTGTCCCATCCCACAGAGTGGGCCAGCCCACGCATTCTTACTTACACACACACACACACACACACACACGCACGCACGCACACACACACGCACGCACACACGCGCGCACACACACACACGAGCCCGTGTTGGTCACTGCACTGTTAAGTTCATCTGTATTAGAAAACTCAGTCTTCTCCTGAACCTTTACATTCACACAAAATATTTCGCTTCTGGTCATGAAATGTGTGAGGGTTTGTCCCCCAGCAGGCAATTCTCTGCAGTATCAGCTGGTGTCCTACACTTTAACTACTAAATTCTAGCACTACCTACCTGAGGTAGTGTCAGCTCCCACAGGTTAAGGGTTCAGGCCTCCAAGACTGCCCCCCCCTCCTTCCCCCCCACACATACTTCAGACACCAATCGTAAGTCCAGTTGTCACCTGTGCTTCTGACCAGCTATAGACCTGAGGCTCCCACCACCCCTCCTCGGTTCGACCACTGTCTGCTAGAGTGGCTCACAGAACTCGGGGAGCCTCTTACTTGCCCCTACACGCTTAGTAAAGGAGGAGGGACAGGACACAGGTGCGCAGCCACGTGGAGAAATACAAGGGCGAGGTCTGGGAGGGTGTGAGCGCTGGAGCCGCTGTGCCCGGGGAGCCGAGTGCCACCCTCCCGGGTCCATGGGTGAGTTCCCCCGTGTGGACATGCTCCAAACTCCATGCTACTGCGATTTTTATGGAGCTTCCTCGTGTGGGAATGATCAACTGTTCGCCCCATTCCAGTCCCTCTCCCCTCTCTAGAGGAGGGAGGGAGGGAGAGAGAGAGACAGACAGACAGACAGACACGGGGGAAGGGGGGCTGAAAACATAAAACTTCTAATCGTGGCTCGGTTTCTGGTGACCAGCCCCCATCCAGGAAACACCCAGAGCTGCCTCTTTAGAACAAAAGATGCTCCTCGAGGTCTTAGCACTTGGGAATTTGTAAGGGTTTTAGGAGCCCCGTGTCAGGGACGGGGTCAGAGACAAGTATTAGATGCTCCTAGTGCTCCTGTCACTTAGAAATGTCCAGAGAAGCCCGGCCAGCGCGGCTCCGTGGTTGAGAATTGACCTATGACCCAGGAGGTCACGGTTCGATTCCCGGTCAGGGCACAGGCCCGGGTTGTGGGCTCAATTCCCAGTGTGGGGTGTGCAGGAGGCAGCCGATCAATGATTCTCTCTCACCATTGATGTTTCTTTCTGCCTCTCCCTCTCCCTTCCTCTCTGAAATCAACAATAATAAAAAATGTCCAGGCGTTTCAGGAGCTCTGTGCCGGAACCCGGAGGCAGAGACCAGTGTATATATTTTCTACGGTCTCACATCCCTCTCCTAGATCTCCAGTAGGAAGGATGCCTCCTTCAGGTCAAGCGCGTGAGACAGAGCCAGGGCCAGGGCAGCTGCTGGGCCCCCCGGCGGGTGTTAATAGTGAGGAAGCCGAGGAGCATGAAAACGAAGCAGAGGAGGGAAGACCTAACCTGGAAGGTGCCAGAAGGGGACATCTTTTCCTTTTCTGGCCGTCACCACCTCCTGTCATGTCTCCCCAGATCCTGATTCCGGCCCTGATGGTAACTGCGGAGAACGACCTAGTGCTTGTTCCTGAGATGTCCAAGCACATGGAGGACTGGGTGAGGGCGGTGCTGCCTGGGCCCTCGGTGCTTCCTGGAGGGAGAGGGCAGGTGTCCCCAAGGAAAGAGGCGGCTGAGGGCAGAGGGGGACATTCTCCTGAACCACTTGCTGGACGGGGGCTTCCTCAGGAGCCTCACTGTCACCTCTTGGGAGCAACATCCGTGCCTGATGCTTCCTTTTCCTTGCACGGATTCAGTCTCTCATTCATTCACTCACTCATTCATTTATTCATTTCATGGGCTTGTGCTGTGCCCTTAAATGTGTTGGGACCGTGTTAGATGCCGAGAAGGTTAAGATGAGTAAGATACAGACCCTGCCCTATAGGCACTCACTGTCCTGTGGTTAATCCCGCACTCAGCCCAGGCAGAGAGAGAGAACCCGGGGCGAGACAGGGTGTTGAGGTGAGGAGCGTGCTTGCTCGGAGAACGGCAGGAGCTCCATGAGGCCGGAGGATCTTGCTGAGCCCTCTGGGCCCGGCTGAGCTGTGTGGGCCACGGGCCTGAGAGCCACCGGAGGGGAGTGATGGGATTGGAAGCTCCTTCTGTTAAAAGTGTGGAGGTTGGTAGTGACTGGGGAGGCCTGTAGTGGGGTGGTGTGGGCTGGCCAGCTGAGAGCGGCCCGTCCCCAGTTGCCTGTGGCTTTGTCAGCAGCATCAGGCCCAGCGGGGAGGGTGCACGTGGGATGCGGCCGCGGTGTGGGCTGTGGATCCGGCCAAGGTGCTGCGGAAAGCTGTGAGCCCACGGGCTCGGCTCCCTGGTCCTAACCCTCGAAGGTTTCTGTAGAAATTCAAGATCTTCAGCTGGTCCTTTGCAGCCCCCTGTAACGGACTCTAACCTCGCTGGGGTGTATTATGCTTCTGAGAGGAGAAGGGCATTTCCCCCAGCCTTTCCCACACGCGGTCAGGGTTCAAGGCTGTGTCAGGAAGCAATCCGTGTCCCAGCTGCTGCCTGCTGCCCCCTCTCGGTCCCGGGTGCTGGCTGCAGTGACCCACTGTGGGAGCCCAGGTTCCAAGGGGAAGCCAAACAGCCCTGCGTGCAGACCTCCAGCGAGACAGCCGGGAAGCGGGTGCAGTCGCGTCTGCATGGCGAGAGCCAGCAACAAGCAAGCATCTTGTAGGCAGTGAAAGGGCTGAGAACGAATGGTTCTGAAGGGAGACAGTTGTGATGAGAACAAGTCAGCCCTGGATTTGAATATCAGCTCAGCCACGCTGTGTGGCCTTGGGCAGGTTCCCTAACCTCTCTGAGCTTTCCCATTACCGCACAGGATTGTGGGTATGCTTCAATAAGACAATGTATGTAGAGCACCCAGGACATCGTAGTTGCTCAATAATTATTCCTTCCCTAAACACGCAGTTTTTCAGGGCGGGGGCTGGCCTATGGGGAGCAGAGGGGAAGGTGCCTCCTCACAGGGGCCCCCTTACACGTTGCACTAACCTGAAACCAGACCCACGGGCACTCTGCCATTTACTTTTCTGGCTGGTGTTTTCTTCCAGATCCCCCACCTGAAAAGGGGACACATTAAGGATTGTGGACACTGGACACAGATGGAGAAGTAAGGAGTTGGGGGCCCCAGGGCAGGGGACATCGGGACTTCCTGTTCACCTTCAGTAAAGGCCTTCCTGGGTTAGCTGTTCACCTCGTGTGAGGTGAGCGGGTCCAGACGGGTACGAATCGTCTTTCATTCCCTTCCCAGGCCCGCCGAGTTGAATCGGATCCTCGTGCAGTGGCTGGAAACTGATGCCAGGGACCCGCCAGTGGTCTCGAAGCTTTAGGGGGTGACGTGTGCCAGCCCCCTCCTCTGCTGGGCTGCTGCTCTTGGCACCAAGATGGGCCTTACCCACGTCTCTCAGAACCAGCAGCCTGGTTCTGAAGGGTGATTTTCTTTAAGGGAAGTGAGTAAAATTAGACGTAATTTTAGATACAGGGAAAGGCTATTAATTCTCTGGGCACAAATGCATCACTTGATCTCTAAGGATGATTTGTGTTCTGTGAGGGGACAAAGGTGGTGGCCAGGGGGTGATTTCTCTTTGACTAATCCATAGTTTTGCAGCAAAATCAGCAGGTAATTCTGAAGCCTTTCCACAGAGATTGGAACTCTTTTGCTCAATAAAGCTAAACAACTGATTCCGCTGCGTTTGGGAGGAGGAGGAGGAGTTGTTCTAAGGATGTCCCGCTGGCCTCATCTGGAAGCCACCTCGCCTGCCCACCCTGCTTCAAGCCCCCTGTCTCCTGCCCAGTCCTGCCACGGCAGCCTCCTGACTGGTCTCCGTACAGGATCTGATCTGAACGTTGCAGGGCCTCCCCGCTGCTCCCACAGAAAGCTCATGCCCTGCCTGGCCGTTCTCCCCCCCCATCAGACCCCACCGATCACTCCCCTATTCCTAAGGGCCCCCCAGCACCCCCGAACGGAGTCCCTGTACACACCACACTGACTCTCCTCGACCTCCACCTGAGCGAATGGGTCCTTTAGCCTGCAGTGTCCCCACCTGCATCTCCCCCGCCGAGGCCCCAGCTGGGCCACGAGCCCTTTCTCCCTGCCCCCAGCATGGTGTGCTCCCAGGGGGCTGCACACCGTCCTGGCTGCGCTTTCTGCAGGGAAAGCTGGGGTGGTGGTCTCCCTAAGCTGAGTTATGAATCATGATGAGTATAAAGTAACCAGGCCAAAAGGATATGTGTGTCCTTGTGTGTATAGAAAGCAAGGGGAAGGCCAGGAGTGGTCTCAGCTGTCATTAAGTACCTTGTGTGCCTGGAGCCTTGCATACACCACCTCTGTGCTTCCCATCTCACAGAGTGGGAAATTAAGGTTCAAATAACTTGCCCAAGGTCCTTTGGCTAGTTAGAGGCAGAGCCTAGATTCAGACGCACGCTGTCTGGTTCCAAAGGCTGAGCTCCTTCTGTCAAAAATCTCCTTTCTGGCCCTGGCAGTGGTTAGAGCGTGGGCCCATGAACTGAAGGGTCATGGGTTCAATTCCCACTCAAGGGCACGTACCTGGGTTGTAGGCTCGATACCCACCCCGTGTGCAGGAGGCAACCAATCAATGTGTCTCTCTCACATCGATGGCATGCTCTTCCCCTCCCTCCTTCCCTTCCACTCTCTAAAAAAAAAAAGTCAATGGAAAAAATAGCCTTGGGTGAGGATTAACAACAAAATCTCCTTTCTAAGTCTAGAGTCAGATGATCTAGATCAGGCTCCTGGTCTGCCTCTTACCACTGTGTGACCTCGAGAAAGGTTTCCTGTACCTCAATTCCCTCACCTATAAAAGGGGACACTAACTGTACCAAGCTCACAGGTGGCTGTGAGTGTTAAATGAGTTACTATATGCAAGGCCCTGGGATGGTGCCTGGCCCCAGGAGGTGCTACAGAAGTATGAGCGCTAAGGTCTCTATGTTAGGACAAGGCCTGTGAGGGCTTTACATTTCCAGCTACACCACCACCACCTCGTTCCTTTTGTATTGGAGAATGAAAGTGCTCATTTAAAAGGCAAATAGGTGACCTGGGGAATGACTGCACAAGCCAGGTAACATTATTTTACTGACATTGTTTAAAATAATGTGTCCAGACTTATTTGTAAGGGGGCAGTTGGAAGAGAGGAGAGTGGAATCTCAGAACATCCTTCATTACAAGAAGCACCAATAAGCAAACTTGTTGGCCCCGATGATCTCAGTTCCAAATGTTCGACCCAGCAATCCCCGTAAACCATCAAAAATGCCCCAGAGATGCTACTCTCTGGGCAGATCAGGGTCAAGTGAGTCAAGTCCATAGCATTGCAACAAAAACATCACCAGTCATACAACACTGAGGCCATAAATAGGATGCTAGACTGGAGAAAGTCTGTAGGTTATTCAAGAAAACACTAGGAATGTCGGAATTGTGTTTCCCCTGCTTTGGGGCCTCCGGACACATGCCACCGCTGCAATTGTGCGGGAAAGGGGACAGGGACGATTTTCAGATGCCATTTTAAGTACAACTTGCTCAGAGTGCGTTCCAATTGACGTAGTTATAAAGTGCTACTTTTATGTCATGACTACAAAAGGCATAAGTAACAAATGTATTCACCTCTGCTGAGGGGAATGGCAGAGCCATATTCTCTCTTATACCCACACACCAGCGGGGTCACGGAGCTCCCCAAGGGAGCCCAGATCTCTTACAGGTTCCCCCACACATAGTGGCTGCCAATTAGCAGTGCCCAAGGTTTCCAGGAGAAATGTCTTCTAAAAGTGAGTCTGTTAGAATAGATGGGACCGGAAGCTATGTGTGTCCCTCTTGGGGTGTAATGAACCCACGTTTCAGGCCTTGAAGCGACTCCAAGCCAGTGTTCACCTTGTTCACACCAATAATACCAGGAACACAAATGAAATGCAAACAGTGGTCAAAATATGTAGGTCTACCGAAACCGGTTTGGCTCAGTGGATAGAGCATCGGCCTGCGGACTGAAAGGTCCTGGGTTCGATTCCGGTCAAGGGCATGTGCCTGGGTTGCGGGCACATCCCCAGTGGGAGATGTGCAGGAGGCAGCTGATCGATGTTTCTCTCTCATCGATGTTTCTAACCCTCTCTCTCTCTCCCTTCCTCTCTGTAAAGAATCAACAAAATATATATTTTTTAAAAATATGTAGGTCAGAAGCTCAAAGGTTTTTGCAACAAGGCTTGGCTGGGAAATACAACACTTTGCTGTTCCTGCCACACGTGACCAAATATTTTCTGATCTCAGGGATTGTGGACGTTTCTCCCCAGTGCTGGCTGCTGCACCCGATTGCTCACTGCCTCCCCTTTTAGACTGTAGGGCCCTGGGGACCAGGGACTTCCTGTCGAGGTGGTTCATCCTTGATCCTAACCCAGCACAGCCTGGCATTTGGGAGATGCTCATTAAATGTTTGAATAAATGAGGAAATGAAAGCATAAACGAATGGATGGGGAAATGAGTTAGTTGCTGGTCTTGACTTTGATGTCCTGCTGGGGGAGATGGAGGGCCGACTGTGTGACTTTTTCACTGTTCCGAGCCTTGGTGGGTCTCCCACTAAGACCTTGGGCGTATCTACTGACGTGCACTCAGAAAGAGATGGTAAACAGGTCCCACACATCTATGAATCTTCGTTGGGATTCACGGGATAAACTGCAACGTACATCAATGGGTTTCTGCTGCACGAAACACAAATGCAATAGTTACTTTAATAACACAGCTGGAGTATTTACAATCCCTGTAGATGTTCAAGCTTTCATGTTTATAAGGTCTGAGTGGAATCATTTTGTCAGTTTACGTAAATACATGTCATATCTACCATACAAGGGTTTTGAGGCTATTACCTGTTTTTGAAAGAACACCGATGATGTTTCTTCTCCTGTAAGACATCCCAAGCTAACATTGACCTTGGGGCTTCAGAGGGGAGGAAGGTCACTGAAGGACGATTAGAAGAGCGGATGATCAGTAACTAGAGGTTTGCTCTGCCGTACAGATAGGTCATAAAACGTTATCTCTGATCATCTCTAACTCTAGGCAAAGCCCCTAATTCAAGTTCTAGGTAGGTAAGGGGGAGGGGCAGAAGTTTCTTTTGAGCCCACAGAGCTCAGAACAATCCACACACCACTCAGGCACATCTTGGGGTAACTCGTCCTGAACCCCCACAGTGCCCTCCCATTTTGTGTCCTATGTTGAATGAACTTTATGCCCTACGTCAGGTTTCCTTTTATTTATTTTATCTTAGAGAGAGGAACATCGATTTGTTGTTCTACTTAGCTATGCATTCATTGGTTGCTTCTTGTATGTGCCCTGCTTCTTGTATGTGCCCTGACCCTGACTGGGAGATCAAACCCACAACCTTGGCTTATGGGGACGGCGCTCTAACCCATTATTTTAAAGAGAATGAGCTGGCTGAGTGGGACAAGGAAGTAAGATCTGCAGGTCAGAAATCATTAAATTCCTCAGAAATCATTAGATTCCTCTTGTTTCAAAGATGGGTTGAGTACAAATTGTACTTGGAGTTCATTCTCACTGATTCGCAAGTACGGGCAGGGAAGAGATCAAAACACAAGCTTCAGTGACCATCGAAATAGTAGCATTAATTTCCCTTGCCAACAACGGTGCGAAAAAAAGTTAAGACTCAGCAATTATTGGACAAGCTGAGCCCTTCAGACAAGAAGAAATAAGCAATAAACCATCGCGCTCGACCACGGCTGATGGCAACGGAGATTGAATGAACTGATACACATCGCTTTTGCTGATTTGTATATTTCCGTGTAATTTTATTTTCTTCAATAAAGGCAATTTATAAAATTGATGTGATTGGCTCGGGGCAGGCGAGGAAGTGTCCCCTCCAAGGGCAAATGTTCAGGGTCATAGGCAGAAAGTCCAGTTGGGGGGAGGGGGGAAGGGGGCTCTGAGCTCTCTTCCCTCGGGCGGGGATGGAGAGGCTGCACAGGCCCTGCCTCCTGCCTTAGCCCAAGGGAGACAGGCCCAGAGGAAGGAGGCCCAGCCTTGCTCTTCTCTCTCCCAAAGGCCCTGGTGGAGACCCCCCTCCCCCGAGGGGCTGACAGACATGGTATATTGTCAGCTGGGGCTGCCACAGACCAGGGGGCTTCAACAACACAGATCTATTTTCTCACAGTCTGGAGGCTGGAGGTCCGGCATCAAGTGCTCGCAGGCCGGTTTCTCCTGAGGCCTGTCCTTGGCGTGCCGGTGGCTGCCTTCCCCCTGTGCCCTCACATGTCTGTGTCCTAATCTCTTACTGGGACACCAGTCACACTGGACCAGGACCCACCCCAACGCCCTCATTTTGGCTTATTGCCTCTTCAAAGGCCCTATTGCCAAAGACAGTCGCCTTCTGATGAACTTGGGCGGCACCCAATTCGGCTCATAACGCAACCCTTCCCCAAAGTCGGCTCTGCTCTCTGGCCCGGAGCTCCACAGATCCCTCACCCGTCTCTGGGACACCCCTCTCTGGGACTGAGCTGCCTCTGAGCACTGCTGTCCACTAGCTGGAGCTCATGGTCACCACCCCACCCCCACCCCGGCTCCCGCCTCACCCCTGCTCTGCTTCACTGCTAGTGCATTTGCTTTGGAGGATGCATTTCTGTGCTCACATGAACACATACACTTGGCAGCTCAGTGGAAAGCCTGGTTTGGGGACA